ATGGCTGACTAAGAAACATAGAACCCCTCGGAGAAGAGAGTAGCAAGTAGATCAAGGAGTCAGAAGGACCAAGGATGGGAAAGACTAGGCATCGGGCCCAGGAAGAAGGAGAAGAGCCCTGAAGGGCACACAAGAGAGTCTGCTTTACACCCACCCTATGAATTCCAAAAAACAATACCCCTTTTGGAAGGCAAAATGAATCTGAGAAAGATAAAACCTCAGAGACAGATTAAATTTACTTGTTAGTAACCTTCCCCTCATTGAGAAAGACCACATTTACAACCTGGAGAGCAGATGCGGTGATGCAGGTGCTCAAGGCCCTCAACTGGGCCAGAGGGAAGACTTTCTCTGTGCTTAGATTTTATCAGGAGGGAAGGAGAGGAGAAGTACCGCAGACATGTCAAAGCGCCCACAGACCTGAGTCTCAGGGTCGGAATGCTCAAGGAAATGAAGGACGTTATTTACTGTCTGTTATAGTTTAATTAAAATAAATACTGCAATAGCAGCTGCATCAGAAAACCTAATCCCGCCTCCATTTCATCTATACCGTCCGCAAATCGGAGGTAAAGAGTCCGAATGGTCAAATCCAAAGTGAAGCGCTGGTGAAGATTCTGGGAGCCTGATTATGGGGCCACCTACCCACCCTTCCCCACCATGTCTTTAGGGAGCAGCGCACAGCCTGTAAAACACCCTGCTCAGAGCGGAGCTGCTGATAGGGGCCCATCTGTAAGCAGGAAAGGGATTAAGCATTACAGTGTTCACTGCACTGTTCCCCTGTGGCTGCCTAGGTGCCAAAGTGACAGGGCGAGGACAGGACCGGGAAGGGGCTCGCTCAGCACGGGGCCTCAACCACAGGACGGGAACTGAGGACACTCACAACTGTCTCGGGGCCATTTCCCCTCCTGGCGTGAGTCTGGACTAAGAGTCTCAAAATCAGCCATTCTCTAGAAACTTTTCTCAGACAGAACCAGGAGCAACGAAGTGAAAACAAGATACAGAAGTTTTTTAAAAATCTGTAAAAATCTGAAAGAACGCAAAGAAGTGAGCCGAGATCTCCAAGCCCATCCATGAGGGGCCTGCGTGACTCAGATGGGTGAAGGGCGGGTGTCCAGGGCTCCCGCACAGCCCTCCGCATAGCTCTGCACAGCCCTGCTCCAGTGCATGCTGGTTTTGTGACCTCACACTTCTACTGAGCCTTCACTTACTCATTTATGAAACAGCAGAAATAACAGTAATGAGGTCTACTTTGTAGGGTTGTGAGGATTCAATGAGATCATCCCTGGGAAGCACTTTGGCAAAGTGTTCAGCAAATATAAATATTCAAAACATGACTGGGCTATTCCTTTAAAACGGCTAGAATAACATTTGGGACAAAGCTCCCATGGAGAGGTAACCATACCTTTCTACCTCTCTCCAAAACAGTAAAAACAGTATTTCAAGTTCTCCTCATAAAAAAAAAAATGGCCACTGAGAAATAACAAGTTTTTGATGATAGTCTCTTAGCTCAAGGACTGAAGATAACGTGGGGAAAAGACACTACTGTCTATGACTGAATATAGAAGTCAGCCAGAAGGCTAAAACAGAGAACAAGTAACCCTTTTAGGTAATTCGAGGTCTTTCTTAACAATAGAAAGAATACAGCTAGAACACACTACATACACTGAAGAGCAACAAGAAACACATGCAGTGTCGTGGCTTGTGAATTCTCTTATCGAGTCCTAAACATATCAACTCGCCCTATGCCGAGCATAGTCACAGGTCAACTAATTTCACAGGGAGCAGGATCCAGGACAAAGAAAAGCAAAACGAACCAGGAGGCTGGGAAATTCAGCTGATTTCTGCCACCAAACTTTTAGACTCATCTGACACCAACTGGTACAGATCTCTAACTAGCCGGGAAATCTTTTAACAAATTCAATATCCAAGTTCAATGTCAGAAAAAAGGTTAGGAAAAGTAATTAAGAAATGCTTGTCACCTAACCCATACTCTTACTCCATTAATATTCTTTATACTCACAAGTTCCAAAACAAAGTGAAATTCAAATATAATTATTATTCTTTATAAATCACATCATTCTCAGCAATTTGAATGACATGATTTTCAAAATTAATTTATAAAACAGTAGTTGTAATTTTTAATAAATTAAAATTCTTAAAATAAAATAAAAAATGAGAAAACAGAATTGAAAGCAATAGTTTAATATAAAAAAAAACCACCAAGTAAAAATATGCAAATAAGATATTACTTAAGATGTAAAAACTGATTTTTCTTATTTTGACACTTCTTCAAATCAAGTAATTTTAATGTGAACTATAAAGCAGTTATAAATGCAAATTCTACAAGTAATTTAAAAAAAAAAACACAGATCTAAGAAAATATAAATTATACCAAAGCACATAAATACTTGAAAACGTCTTGAATATTAAACTACTATTTTATAAGTTTGGTCTCAGAGCAAAAAGATGTTATGTGAAGATTTTCAAAGTTAGGAGTTTAAGTGAAATAGTATCAAATAATGCAATATTTTTGTATTTGAAGATCTATTTGAAGATTGATTTCATTTAATCCCTCTGAAATGCTAAGGGTATGTACCCAGTGGCAGAAGCAGGATTCAAACATAGCTCTTAACCCAAAGCTCTTACTATTCTATTCTGCCTCCATGGGTTTAGCACCTGGCAGAAAGACCCAGGGTTGAAATACAGATTTGCAAGTTTATCTTTCTTTCATGCATTTATTCAGCCGGTCCTAATGTTGGACCTAAGGATGCCAAGAAAATAAAGTTACATTTCCTATCCTTAGAAAACCACAGAGAGACATGAAAACAAACAAAAATGCACGATGGTATGACAGTGCTAACAGAAATAGAGGAGTAACCCTAACCCCAAAAGGAGAGAGGAGGAGGAGTCTTGGGGAAGGTTCTAGGAATGGAAGACAGTGCTTGACCAGGATTTTGAAGGATGAGTTTTTTTTGTTTTTTAAATCCCCCAAGTGGGTAGAGGAAGCAAGAAAGGCAGGCCACTCCACAAAAAGGCAGTGGATAGAAAGAAGACCATGCTCAAAACAGCACAGTCAGCTCAAAGAAATGCACACTGATTAACAGACAGCCCTTTAATCATTCCAGCCTCCACCCCCGCCTATCAATATGTTCAGAATCCTAGGTTTTGGGCTCCTTGTGTCACAGATGGGACGGTCTTTCTCTAGCATTTTAGGCTTAAGAAAAGCTAGAGGGAACTAGTAACCCGAGCTTAGCAATGCAGATCCTAGCCTGATTAAAGGTTTTGATACAAATAGATCAGGATTCTCAAGAGGCAACTTCACAAGTCCAAATATTGTAAAAAAATTTACTCTTACTATGAATCTATTTCAAGACTAATAAAGGTTCAAGGGAGACCTAAATGCTGCCTTGCTATTTCTCAATATAAATGCCATGTGAAATTATTCAACAAATCCACTCTAACCCTTTTAATATGGGAGTTATAAGAAGCCTTTAAATCCCTTTAGGGATAAATTTATTTCCTGAAGCCAAGTGTTAACAGCAGTAAGTGGAGAATTTACATGTACTCCCCAAAAGCAGAGAGGCAGAAATTACCAACTACACTATGTGACCTTTCAACTACGTATTTTATTTAATCACACTTGTACCACTGGGCAATTTAAAGGGTACGATTTTTTAAAATAAGAGACACAATATATTGTCCCTGATATTTTAAAGAACTTTCCAGGATTGTACATTTAAACAAATGTTTTAGGTTTTTTCATCTTTTTTCCAGAGTAGTCACGGGAAGTGACCAAATACCTATTCAGTCAACACTGCCATTTCTTGAAAATTTTGTGTTCTCTGAGAACTTTTCCAAAGTCAGTTTATAAGCTATATCCTTCAGACGGACAGATGGGCATTGCACTAAGAAAACACCCATTTACTCACAGGCCAAACCCAGAACAATGAGTAGGCTATAAATGGAAAGATTCTTTTTGTTTGTGTAACTGCTCACTGGTGGCCCAGCAACCCAGACGCATTCTCCTTCCTGGATTCCATCAGTGTGTGGTCAGTGAGATCTATTCTCTGATAAGTTTTCCTTAGAAACAACAAGTCAAGATTTTGAAGACAGAATTTATATTATTGCAAATCATTACAGCTAGTTTGGGGTGCTGTGCATTGCCATGTTATCAGTACCATAAACTATAAAGGTACACGCCCTTTAAGAAATGCTTCCCTCTGTCTAATCACTACACTCTAAAAATAAAGCTAACACTTTCATATAAACAAAACGAAGGTGGCAATGTACTGGTCAAAGCAAAATCAAAGACCACAAAATCAATAAGGAAATGCATCTCATAACTGAGTTAATGTCTGTGATAAATTTTAGTCAAGTGAAATTAATAGGACCCCTTAAGAAAAATGAAAGAGCAGAGCCCGGCCGGGCGTGGCTCAGAGGTTGAGCGTCGACCTGGGATCCAGGCGATGGGGGCGATAGGGGTTCGGTTCCCGGTCAGGGCACATGCCCGGGTTGCGGGCTCTGTCAATGACTCTCTCATCATTGATGTTTCTCTCTCTCTCTCCCCTTTCCTGTCTCTGGGATGAATAAAGATATACTAAAAAAAAAAAAAATTAAAGAGCAGAAAACAAAAAAACTTGACACGCAGATTCAAAGACTCAGGTTCTAAACTTGTTCTCACCCGCGGGAACGCTCGTCTGCCAAGCAGCCAGGCGGCTGAGGTCAGGAACGGCCTCCGCCGCTCAGGGCCCAGCCTCCCAGCGCACTGGGGCCCCAAAGCTCCTCTGGAGACACCCTTTCTACCCCGCCTCGCGCCCCTCGCTTCCCCGACTGAATTCCCCCGACGCCCGCTATGCCCGCCCCTCGGACACCCCCTGCAGGAGCTGAGCACAGTGGGGTCCGGGGCAGCACCCCTTTAGCACCCTGGGGAGAGGCACCCGCTCCCGCGCCCCCGGGGCGGGTTACCATGGAAACCCCCGCCCCGCCCCCACCGCGTCACTCACGGTGCCAGGCGCGTGGCCCCCCTCGCTGCGGCCGGGCTGCGCCCCGTTCCTCAGCTTCTTCTTCTTCTTGGCCGAGTCCCTGTGCTCCTTCTGCTTGTTCTGCACCTCGATGAGCGCGGAAATGAAGCTGTTCTTCACCTCCTTCTCGAACTCCAGCTCGTCGCGCAGCGCCAGCTGCTGCACCAGCTCCTCCGAGAACTCCCTGGTGGCCGCCTCGATGTCCTCCAGGAGCTCGTTCAGCTCGGCCGCCGGCAGCCGCCTCACCCCTGCGCCCAGAGCAGAGCACAGCGGACGCTGGGGACGAGTGTCTCGGCGCGCTCGGTGCTTCGCGCCGGAGAGGAGGCCGCAGGGTGAGCAGCTCGCTCGCCGAGGCCCCGGGGCCTAAGCCTCCTTCCCGGCGGCTCTAAGGGGAGCCGGGCAAAGCTCCCCCCCAGCGGCGGGAAGAAGCGTGCCCAACTCTCTCACATCGACCATCTCAAGAGCAACCCTAAAGTGGACACAGAAAAATGTGCAAGGACAGCGCGGGCCCAGGGCGGAGCAGCCAGAGCAGAGAAGCTACCTGCGGCGGGAACGCACGATCGGGCCGGACTGCGCGCTCCGCAGAGGGAGCCCCGCCGGTACTGCGCGCTCCGCAGAGGGAGCCCCGGGAGGGCCGGGACTGCGCGCTCCGCAGAGGGAGCCCCGGGAGGGCCGGGACTGCGCGCTCCGCAGAGGGAGCCCCGGGGGTACTGCGCGCTCCGCAGAGGGAGCCCCGGGAGGGCCGGGACTGCGCGCTCCGCAGAGGGAGCCCCGGGGAGGGCCGGGACTGCGCGCATATTGAACCCAGGGCTGCGCGCGTATTGAACGCGTGGTCTCCCTGCGTGCCAGAGACGGAAGGAAGGCGATGCCACTGGAGCCCCATTCCGGTCTTTGTCAGCATGTCCCCTCGGAGAGAGGACATTGTTGAGGTCCCCACCCCAGTGCCTCAGAGGGCGACTGCTTTGGAGGAGGGTCCTCAAAGAGAACTGAGTTAAAGTGAGGTCAGGAGGGTGGCCCTGGCCCAGAGTGACTGATGCCCTTAGGAGATTACGCCAGGGGCCCACAGAGGGAAGTCCACGTGAGGACAGAGGGAGGACAGCCATCTCCCAGCCGAGGGGAGGGCCCTCGGAAGCAGCCCACCCTGCTGAGGCCCAGATCGCAGGCTTCAGCACCCAGAACTGCGAGGAAACAAGGTCACCCTGCGCACTTTGCTACAGCAGCCGGCGCTGGCTGATACGGGATTCAAAAGCGGGCATGCCGTAGTCCCGGGTCAGAACGTGCCCTGGGCACCGGTGGAGGCGCGAGCGGGCGCAGCCCAGCCCGTGAGAAGCACAGGCCCCTGCAGGTAGCCACGCTTGTGTCTGAAGCACAGGGAAAGGCACACAGAGCACTGACGTAGGCAGGGTTTCTTACTCTCTTCGTAACTGCTGGTGCTAGACCGCTTCAGGGTTTGGATTTCCTGGGAAAGCATCGAAAGCCGATCGGACTGTGTCAGCGTTTCATCATCTTCCGGGTCGGGTGATTCCTGCATCATTTCTTCGATTTCTTCAATAACCTTCCAAAATACACACGCCCGTTAATCACATATACATGGAAAAAGGTCCATCTGAAACACGGCACCCACGCGAGGCAACCAGAGAAGAGCACTGAGTTCCCCACTAATCTGTGCAGGAGCGGGTGCTCTCAATAACCAAATTTTGATTGTAAGCGTGAACACAGTATCCACAGAAATTTACAATATACTAAACTCAAACTTAAATGGATGATTTAATATGTCCATCGTGATTCTGGAGACCTTGAAACGCCTGAGAAATGGTGCTACAAACACGTGTACAATTCACTTCAGATGTGCCAGAACCATATCCTAGTTACAGTGAAACAAAAGTAAAGGACAGAAAACTTGCCACGTACCACAAGCAAGTGCTTAATCTAAAGCCATGTAATCAAACTGACATAAAATTTAGAAAACACAACAGGATAAAAAATGTTAGAAATAAAGCAAGAAATTACCTCAATGGCAACAAAATCCTCCTTTAACCGCAGGGAAAAATTTTCATATATTAACTCAATGGAAGATGAAGGAATATCAAAAATTACTTAAAATGTGGAAGCTTAAAGAGAAATAGCTGCATAAAAGCAGGGAAATTTCAGAAATATGTCTGCTTAATTTAAACAATTATCTACTGTCATATGCACGTTGCTCAAATTTTACAACAGCACCTTGTCCTGTGCCAGATTCTAAAAGTTGAGAAGGAGATAGAGCTCAGAGAAAATTTAAGAAAAACCAGGAGAATTATTCAATAGTCAAGAAAAACAGATTTTAAAATGAAAAACTATTAGAAAAAATACAATATGCATCAGCAAGCTTAACATAATAACACAATAAGGAAAAACAAAAGTAAATCTGAAGGAGGTTGTGTCAATTAGTAAGATTTTCCAAAAATAGGCATTGAAAACAGTAAAAGGAGACACTGACATTGGCTATGCAATCTGCTCCTCTGAGTCTTAAAGGCAGGGACAGCTTATGGCGTTCCGGCAGGTGGTTGAGGAGTCAGTGGTTCTCAGGGTCATGCTTCCCTGGAATATCTCCCTCTAACCTATTAGTTGCTTTTTAAGCACCTCACTCTCCCCAGGCCTAGAGCAACCCAACCACAAATATGACGAAGGGGCATCAAAATGGCACATTTTTAATGTCCTCCTTCCAACCGAACCATAACATATCTCTTTACTGACCCTGTTTTTCCAGCCGAGTAGCCACAGCACGTTTTATTTCAGGAGGTTCTTGCATCGCATTTTGACAATACAACAGAAGTGGGAAAAGAATTCAGAAAATGAGAACGCTGATGCAACTGGTCTTCAGTGAACACAGGGTTGACATTACTAGAGCATTCCACAGGCAAACGCTCACTTTTCCCTAGAGTGCACAATATGCAGATCCAGTATGTGCTCATGATTTCTGCACAGGTTTGAGAGAAACCAGATCATTTCTACACAGATATGTTATAGATTACCCATGTCTGCCTAAACCTAAAGAAAGAAAATTCACAATATTTTTTCTGATTTTGGGATAAGCAATAACACTCCCTTAGTAACTCGCTGTACTGTTTTAACAATGCTTAGCTTGGAAAATTGCCTATGCTGAAAAATCTCCCCAACTAGCGTAACCCCCCCTGCTTCAGGTTACACAGACTTCCTTCTGCTCTCAGTGGAGCAGCCAAATGTTAAGCTCCATAAGCAGAAAATATAGGAAAAACAAGTAAACTCCAACAGCTCATCACTTATTGCCACAGTAAGAAATGGTTTTTCGGCTCAAGGTTCCCTTTTCCTTTGCTTGATGAATTCCTCCTTCGTACCTGGTCTGCAGTGAAGAGAGGCTCATCATTAACACAGGAGACGATGATTGAATGCATATCCAGCTGTTCTCTCAACTCCTCCTCGTCTGATGTATCAAAGAGCAAGCTGTCACTTACCTAAAAGCAAAATAACCCACTATTAAAAGCAGGGCCTTCTGATCACAACAGTCAAAGTGTCTGGGTAAAGAAGACGGCAGAGGGAGGCATCAGCTGAGAACATTCTCTCCAAAGGGAGAAATTATCACAATTGCTCTGTACCATGCAGTGTGTGCAGTGCGCTGCATACTCACCTCCAGCAGATATGAGAGGAATACAGAAGAAATGTGAAACTGCTAAGGGCTGCAAGTATCCCCCAGTGCCCAACAGATACACAGCTGTTTTTCCCGTGGGGAAGACTGCCATGAAAGCTGGCTGATAAGTACAAAAATAGAGGGGCAGGGCATCTGTTAGGAAGTTGTGGGGAATTATAACAAATGTGGGGCAAGGGTAATAGGTAGGGTAGACAGCAAATGCTATTTAGTTAACAATCTAACAATAAGATTGGTATATATTAAAATTCCACAGAAAACATAAAGTTAGTTACTTGCAAACTAACTTCTAACATTCAGAATAAAACATAAGTAATAAACTCTCTGGCAGACAGGAACTGTCCGTGAGGGTCGCACTTGGCCTTTTCAGTTGAACATCTCTTCGTCCAACAAAAAAGATTATGTCTGGGTTCCCAAACATGTTTAAACCTAACTGTGCTGGAGACTGTCCAAACTTCCATTTTCCACACTACCCTGGGCCCCAGGAGGCTGACCTGTATGGACTACATCAGAGGATGCTTGTGACCTCGCTTCCAGTGGGTTAAACACCACTGCTAGGCACTAGCAGGAGACTGGAAGGTGGGAAGGTGAGGGCTGGGCATTTATTCTGCTGCTCCCTCACTGCCAGACCGTCTCCTATAGAGCAGACATCTCCACCACAGCTACTCTCTCTAGCTTCTGGTAACTTCTTCCCCACTTTAACTCTGCATACCATCTAGTGCAAGTACTGCTTGCTATTGCCAGCCCTGGGGCATCACTCCAGGCCTAGTTGGTATCCCTGAGCCCTGTCCACACCAATATAAACAGCCCCTTTAATAACGACTTAGAGTTTAGTACCGGCACTCATTGTAAAAACCGTAACTGAAAAACTCAGCAGATTTAAATCCACAAGTGATCATGTGTCTATCACCTAGGTAACATGACATGATATTGCAGATGATAAAAGAACTGAAATTAGAACTCCGTTCCCCAGGAAGGAGTAGCACACACTGAGCTCCCAAAGAACAAATGGGTAGCAGTGATGAACTATGTAAGAAGCAACCATGTATTTCTATTAGATAGTATATAATTTTAAAAATAGTATTTTCCCTGGGAAAGTTATTTTATTTTTCAATGTAGAGAATATACATAAAATTAAGGATACAACTGAGTATTGTAGTTTCCTAGTTCCTCATACAGGATCGTGGGACATTTAATGGTGAACACAGCTCACGGAGTAAGAAACCTGCGGGTGAGGCAGGCAAAGGCACACAGGCGTGCTGCCTTTCGTGACCCTGGGCCGGGAGAGGGGCTGCCTCAGCACTCCAGGGTCCACCCACTCCCATACACTGCAACTCCGTGCTGCACCAGTCACAGCACACCTCCTCGTTCTACTTCTCAACGCACCTGAAGCCCAGGGAGGCTTGGCCAGGTCCGTCCACATAGCATCATGAAATTTCAGAACACTATGAGAAAAAGAACCTAAAAACTTCCAGAGAGGAAAAAACCATCATATTAAAAGGACCAGGAATCAAAATGTCAATTGAATTCTCAACAGCAACAACAGAAGCTAGAAAGCAATGACTATAATTTCTTCATTTCAATTCATTACACTCTAAAATCCTAGCTAAACTAACAACTAGGTGAGGGCTTAGAATAAAGGAAGTTTCAGACATTCAAGTTCTCACAAAATTTACTTCTCATGTACCCTTTCTCAGAAAGCTACTGCAGAATATGCTCCATTAAAACGAGGAGGAAAACCAAAAAGGAAGACATGGGATCTAATACATGAAAGAGGTGAAGGGAATCCTTGTAACCATAGTGAGGATCCCAGAATGATGGCTGTGAGGCTAAACTAGAGCGTAACCGGTTCAGATTAGAATTGCTAATGCAGAGGGCATCAAGAAAGCATGGAGAAAAAGAAAAGAGACTGACAGATTATCTAGTGTATTTCAATTATTAAAATGAGTTTTATGGCTCAGTTGAGGCTGAATTAGTGAGCTAATGACAACCTAAATAAATCACAAAAAGGCAATTATTATTACCCTAAGAAAACAATTACAAGTGAAAATTTAGTTGTAATGTAGCAAAATGGATCAACTGAATATTTAAGTACTCGATATAAATAAGATTAATTTAAGCAAATATTTTGAAATAATTCTTTTGGGAGGCTAGGGGAAGGGTAAGCTTTTGCAAGGGCTATGGTGTGGGGTTGGAGGGAAGGCTGTGAGAAGCTAAACCCTCACCCTCTGGGGAGAAGTACGTGGAGAAAGTCTAAAATTGAAAAGAAGTAAAATCAGGTAAGACGATATGAGTATGTTATCTGTTAGAAGAAACAGGTGAAGTAGCTGAAAGTGGCTGCCCCTGGTAAGTGGAAACCAAAGATGGGGTAAGTAGGGCAGAGGCTGCTTTTTCATGTTAAGTGCTATAGTTCTAGTTTAGTTTTTAAACTATGACAGTTATCCTTTTAAAATAGGAAAGAAGAAAGGTGAAAAGATTAGGCTCCTGATGAGAGAGGATATTTAATTTCAAGACTAGAGAAGTGGAGGTGAAAAATTCCACAATGTGTTGCCCGGCTGGTGTGGCTCAGCGGCTGGGCATCGACCTAGGATCTGGGAGATCACAGTACTATTTCCAGTCAGGGCACATGTGAGGGTTGTGGGCTCAATTCCCAGTGAGGGGTGTGCAGGAGGAAGCCCATTAATAATTCTCTCTCATCATTGATATTTCTACCTCTCTCTCTCCCTGTCCCTTCCTCTCTCTGAAATCAATAAAGACATATATTTTTTTTAATTAAAAAAAAAAATCCACAGTGTGATCACAATGATGTGGAGCAGACCTACCAATTATCTTCACTGACCCTTAAATTTCAGTGCTTTCCCTCCCCAGTCCCTCTTCTGTATTGTAACTTGAAGACCATAGCTTTATTTCCCCCCTTATAGACAAGTTGCCCCTTATAGACAAATAAAAGTTTTAATTTAAAAATTACTCCTAAGGGAGATGTTATTATCTTCTTACTGTTTCCACTTTTAGAGAGATGAAAGTGCACAAAGTCGAAGTCCTTGAGAAAATGCTCACGGTAGGCGGGAGGAGATGGCACAGGAGATGTTCCTGAGGCAGATGACTTAGAAGTGTTCTATATACAAGCATGATCAAGAAAGGCACCAGGTTTAGAATAGGCCTATAGCTACTGCCAAACACGCGAGTGAGACCAGTAAGCCACAAGAATAAATTTCCATGACAACAGAAACAATGCTTACCCATCATCATTCCAGAGAGGAGCCAAGCCCTTCCACACAGAGATGGCATAAGTTAGGGGCTGGAATCTCTTTCAGGCTTTGAGAACTAACCTTGGCTATCTGGGTATCATCATTCACCCTCCCATTCAGCAGCAATGTGCCTTCTCTTTGCCAAGCATTCTGAACACCACTCCTGCCAGTGCCAGCATTAGATACAGAGCTGGTGGTGCTGTTTCCCTCTATGAAAACAAAGCTGCCTCAGATGGAAACAAATGTGCCCATGGAAGAATTTGGGCTGTACCAGATACCTTAAAGATCCAGCAGATTCCTTCTCCCTTTCTCAAAATAATTTCCTATCGACCCTGTTTTACAATTGAAATAATCCAAAGAATGCTTCCAGAAGGTAAGCAAACACTTGTCTTAGTACTGACTACATGCCAGGCACAGTGGTAGTTACTAAAGAGACAAATATAAAGACACCACCAGGTGTCTCTGACAGACCCAGAGACATATGATTAATAAGAGAACACAGGAGTGACTTGAGACATGGGCAGAGTGCTATGGGGACTAGCACCCAGGAGACAACGGGGTCACATTCTATGGGACAGATAAGTTCTGTAAGGTTTTCACAGCCCGCAAGTGTAACGGATTCCCACAGAGAGGAGTGCATTTTCCTTCTGTGCAAGGATGCAGGCCATGGCTAAGTGACCATCTGTCAGACATGCTGTAGATAGGGATTCCCCCCAAGTGAGAGGTTGGATTAAGTGTCCTTTAAAGTCCCTTCCAACTCTAAAATTGTATAATTCCATGAGATCAGCAAAGGCTAAAACAGTAATAGGAAGCTTCGGAGAGGAAGGGAAACTTGAACTAAGTCCAAAATGATAGCTAGGATCTAAATAAATAGAACACAGAGCATAAGATATTTGGTTACATTCCTTTTCATAACGTGCATGTCAGGCCAGTCTGAAAAACAGCTTAATGGAGCTAATAATTAGAACAAACAGTAAGAATTCTGCACCTACTAAAATACTGGGACACAGTCAGAATTCCGTATTTTACTAGAAAATACTGGGCAGCAAGCTTTTCTGAATCACACATTTAAGAAAACCATTTTCACAGTACTATTTAAAAGATTGACAGGACTACTGCATTAAGCTCCCAATAATTACACAAATACACTAATAAAATAAGAGCATGTCAAAAGATCTGGCATGGGTTTGCACTGTTATTTGATGAGGAACTTGACAGGCCCTGAAACTGACATCATCCAGCTACGTTTCTCATCAGCGTGAACAACACTGTGATTTTCCACGTAAAGCAGCCCTCTTCCCTGTTCTGCGCCCTTGCTGCCCTGTCACCTGTGCTCATTCTTCTTACTCAGGCATCTTCACTAGACAATACCAAGACAAACCCAGCAGCCTCAAACAGCCAAGACGACATTTAAAAGCCAAGACTGAAATGTCTTTTAAAGGATCCCCAATATTCACAGGAATACATAGTCTTTGGGCAACATGTTATGTCCAGCAAGTCATTGAATTCATCAAAAAGTTAATTCTGTTGATATTGCAGTGGCCTCAGTTCAGTCATGTGCCACATAACCTTTGGGTCAACAACTGACTGCATATACCATGGTGGTCCCATAAGATTATAATACAGCTGAAAAATCCCTATTGCCCTGTGCCATCATAACGCGCTGCATTCCTCGGGTCTTTGAGGAAATGCTGGGTAAACACATATACGAGCACAGCACGTACAATTACGTACAGTATGTAATACCCGGTTATGAGAACAAACAACTACAATACTGGTTTGTGTATTTATACTTTTCATCATTATTTTGGAGTGTATTCTTTCTACTTATAAAAAAAGATTACTGTAAGATTCAATGACATGGAAGCATAGATGAGACCGATGAATGTCAGAGGGATGGAGGAGGGCGGGTGGGTGGAGGGGGAGAGAGTAACCAAAGAATTTGTGTGCATATATGCACAGCCCAAGGACATGGACAATGGTGGGGAGAGGGAGTGGGGAGGGGGAAGGAACGGGGTGGAACGGGTCATTGGGGAGAAAAAGGGACATCTGTAATATTTTAAACAATAATAAAACTTAAAAAAAAAAAAAAATGATTACTGTAAATCAGTGTTTCATGTTATGCCTCGCACACCTCATGTTTACTGTGTCTCTCGGCTGCATCATCTTCACTCGTGCTTGATTTAATCCTGTGATGTTTTATAAAGTAACATGCTGTACAGGCTTGTAGCCTCCGAGCAATAGGCCACACCGCACAGCCTAGGCGTGTAGTAGGCTAGACCGTGTAGGCTTGTGTAAGTGCATTCTCCATGATGTTCACACGACAAGGAAATCTCCTACAACGCATTTCTCAGAATGTATCCCCGTCGCTAAGTGGCACGTGATTGTGCAATAAACCAAAGGCTCGGATTCTCACTGAGTGTTTTCAGCAAATCAAAATTGTGTTATTTAAGATGGAAAAAAAATACTGGCCACTGATGTTCATACACAGGTGATGAAAATTTAGCCAAACATAAAAAAAGGAGTGTGTGATGGGGAAGAATTAGAGGAATGTGCTAGCAACTGGTTTATGCCAATGAAAGACGAGTCCAATTGCTACAAACTTGGAAATAAGAGGCAACTCATGATTTTTGGTTAAATAGAAATGCTCCTTTTTAGCTCCAATATCAGAATCAGTTAGTAAGAAACAACTAGTTCAATTCCCAACTTACCCCTTTTTCTGAGAGGTTCAGAGTGAGCAAGTGTAAGGTCCTGGTGTGGGATGATTTCCAGTCCACAGGCATTACGTTTCCGTAATTATCTGTCAGGGCATTCCAAATCCTTAAAACGAAGAAAACTATAGTCAATGAAAGTTAGCATGTCTTTTATTAAATAAATATCCAGTGCTAAAGTGAAAGAAAAACAAAAAATATCGAAGAAATAAAAAAAGAAGGCCCATTATTTCTCAGAAAAACATCAACAAAGTAGAGCCCCCCTAAACAAGACTAAATGAAAATCATATAATTGGGCTGAAAGGAGTCCTGAAGGAAGGTGAAGTGAAATGGAAAATTCTCCCATGTTGATAACTGACACTTTCCACTGGTACCACGTGCCAGGCACTATTCTAAACAATTTACATATTAACTCATTTAATTCTCAAAAACAATATTGCCCTAGCTGGTGTGGCTCAGTTGGATGGAGTGTCGTCCCGTGTACCAGAAGGTTGCGGGTTCAATTCCTGGTTGCTATTTGATCCCCAGTTGGGGCACGTGCAGGAAGCAACTGATCAATGTCTGTCTGTCTCTCTTCCCCCGTCCTCTCTCTAAAATCAATATAAAAAACAACAACAATATTATGAAGAACCATCGTTTCCCCCCACTTTACAGACAAGGAAACTAAAGCATAGGGAAGTTAAGTAATGTTTCCAGAGCCAACCTGGTAGCAAATGCACTGTGCCTTACACATAATGTTCTTCTACAAGTTCCAAACACATAGGCCATGTCATAGAATAACCGGAGGTTTGTTATCCTTTCTAGAAAAAGGATTCAGTTGTAATGCGAGACCAGGGTTCAACATCTAGTTTGTAATATAAAGACTAAAACTGATCGATGAAAGGGGGAGGAAGGGAGGCTCAAACACAATGCGTGCAGGTCACCCAGTGCAGTGACCCCACCTCACTATCAGGCAGCACTTTGGGAAGGCAGCAGAGCACCTGCCCAATGTTTGGGCAACACAGACGCTGGGCTCCCTTCTTCCTCAAACAATTAGCCTTTGGCCGTGTCCTTGAGCTTCTCTATGCACTGGCCTCCCTTCTATAAAATGAGGCTTGGACAAGAAGGACACATTCTGTATTCTAAGCATTAATTTAAATAAGTTGCATTGAGGGAAGTCCCAAAGCACACCAGATAAGGACAGCAAACTCCAATCTCCTGGCCAAAATGCAGGTTTCAGTACCAAGGTAATAACCAGCAAAATAAAACATGACGTATGAAAAAAATTGAGTTCAGAGATATAAATGACATGAAATTTAATTGGAGTAAGTAAACACTACACATATAAGCTAGAGGTATGCACATGCATGTCCTAAAAAAACACCCCCTAAAATGTATTTAATTGTGAATAAGCCATGACATACTTAGGTGGGGTTTACTGCCAAGTGTGTGAACCATTAGGGTACAAAAGCAAGACCACTAGGGGTGGAGAAATAAGAATGCAAGCTTCGAAATAAAGAAGCGACATACTTGATTTAATGCTTTGGGATTTGGTGCTAAAGAGATGAAGCAATAGGGCCACAACCGCCAAAAACATAAATTCCCAATGTGATGTTTTTGGCTTTGGAACACACATTAGCCTCAATGAAAATGTAAACCCAAAGGCTCTAGAAAACTGGCTTGTTTACCCAGCAAATCTCCCATATGCTTGGTTCATTCCCATTCCCCCCTCTGTTGGAACCGTAATCTCCTCTAATGCCAACATGCTCGAATTGGAGGCAACCCTTCTGGACTGTTAAATTTGCTGGGTTTCAGGCCCACACCTTCCTGGGTAAAAGACTTTCAGCCTTAGCTGGTTTTGCTCAGTGGTTAGAGTGTCAGTCCAGGGACTGAAGGGTCCCAGGTTCAATTCCAGCCAAGGGCACCTACCTCTGTTGCAGGCTCAATCCCTGGCCCCGGTCAGGGAGCGTGTGGAAGGCAACCAACTGATGTGTCTCTCTAACATTGATGTTTTTCTCTCTCTCTCTCCCTCCCTCCCACTCTCTCTTAAAAGCAATGGAAAATATACCCTCCAGTGAGGATTGAGAAAAAAAAAAAAAAAAGATTTTCAAATACTGAATCACTGACTATATACCTAACTCTGGTCAGAAACCCCAGTAGGATACTCCAGTAGGTGAAGACAGTCTAGGATTTGGGGGGCTGCTTGTTTGCCCCTTCTCACATGAGGCTATAATAAAAGGACAAGTGGAGTAGAATAGTCCACCTAGGAAAAGTGACTGGGACTGAATTTGATCTGTCAAGAAAGGGAAGGAAAATCAACAGTCCTCTATCTCCACCAAGGTCAGAACAATTGTAGTTGTAAGGAAATAGGGCCTGCTAACGTGAAAAATTTCTAGAATTCTCCAGTCAAGACATGGATTGCCTCCATCCTTATCGTAAAGTATCAGGAGCAGTCATAAACAACTGGCAAGACAGCTCTTTCCAAGGTCAAAGTCCCGCCAACATCGATCCTACAAGAGACCCTTCTAAAGTAAAAGCTTAGCAGATAGGTACAATCCCTGTATTTAACCAAAACTAAAACTGGGACTTAGAAAAGTTAAATAAAGTGCCCAAAGGCAAGGCAATATCTCAGTGAAAGAATTCTCAACTCTCTCTGGTAAAAGGAGAACCAAATGAACTCTAAGGAGCAATGGAGAGCGGATCTATGCAATGGAAAGGCAATCATGAGAGTGGTGGCCAGCCCCGGCCCTGGAAGGGAGAGAAAGAGATTTCTTACTCATTCCTAAATCAAGCCATGCACATTACCAACATATCATCTATGAAAAACCATTTTCAAGAGTAACAAATTTTTTTTTAAGTTTTACATCAACCTAAGATTTAAGCAAAGGCTATAAAATACACTTCTTTCCAGATAGTACAGGTGAAGCAAAAATAAGGGACTTTAACTGTGTGCAAACCATTCATCTGTTTTGAGACGTTACTCTTGATAAAACCAAATTCATAATAAATATAATTTTTAAATCGAGAATATGTCCTGAGTCTAGTGACTCAGAGTATATAATTATACATGTATATACATATATAAAATACATATATACACACACACACACACAATACTATCTTACTTTTGGGAACAGAATTTCAAAACTGTCCTATATTGCCACTGAGTGCAGATGTGTGTGTATAAAATCCAATCATAAATTCTTCCCTCCACACCTGAACCCTGTACAGAGGTACCAATTAAAAGACATAGTCTCCAAATGCAGCTGGGCCCAAACCATTGCTCAGCCATGCTTACAGGCAACCATTCCCAACCCCCTCTTCTCAGGCTTCATACCTCATTCCTGATAAATCCACTTCACAGAGTAAAGGAGACCATCAAGCTAGAAGCCCCTTTCTATGTCTGTGGAGCTTTCTCTATCTCAGAGAATTCTTCCCTAAACTCTAATCTCTCCATCCCACCAATGTTCTGAAAACTCATCCATACCCAGGTCCTCAGTATTTACTCCATTAATTTCACCCTCAGCCTCTCCAGGGAGCCTCTCCCCTGACATTACAATATGCTAAAGTTTCTTCATGCTCATCAATTTTTTTAACCACCTTGTGGGGTAATATTAGTACATAATCACAACCTTTATTTAACCAAATTATAACTGGGATTCAAAGTGGTTAAATAAAGTCCCCCGGGGGAACTCTATCCCTCCCTTCCCCCAGCTCTCATAAATCCCTGTGAATTCCCTATTGTTGCACTTGGATAATTCTGCAATAATTACCTGTTTATGTGTTGATCTCCCCACCAGACTAGGAGACCCCAGCTATTAATAACCAGGGTTCTTCGTTTTTTGCCTCTGTGGAGGCCTGCACTCTACCTGGGCTCTCAGGTACCCCCAGTAAATTCCTGGGGCATAAATGCTGCTTCAACATTGGTTCCTTTGCATGTGCCACATCCTCGAGCTAGAATGCGAGGCCCTTCTTCACTGCCAAGCAAACTCCCGCTCATCCATCAGGATGCAATTTTCACGTTTCTTTCTCTATGAAGCCTTTCCTGACTCTCCTCCCCCCTTCCCCCACACACACCCTTTTAATTCTCCTAAATTTTACACACCTATCCATTAGAGCACGTGTCCCACCCAGACAAGTCTTTGTTTACAAATCCAGCTCCCGTCCCAGGCGGCGCCCTGGCCGCGAGGGGCAGTCACCGGGCGTCCCCAGGGAGAAGCGCCCGGGCACCTGGGGCTCAGCACGGACGCCGGCTGAATGAATGGGAGGCCGCCCGGCGCCCGGCGGGGCCGCCGCAGCTCCGGCTCTACAGGGGGGTCGCCCTAACCCAAGCCAGGCTGAGCGCGGGAGCGAGGGCGCGGGGGATTCAGGGCCCCGGGCGCGGGGGCCGAAAGC